ACGTCTGCTCTCGGGAGCGGCGGCGGAACGCAGCCGGCCCGGCCAGGGCTCAGGGGCCTGAGGACACGGCACGGGTGCCGGGATAAAGCGATTTTCGCTTTCGCGACTCGCCCTGTTCCTCTAAATAATAAGGAAACGCCACAGGCTTCCTGTAAAGGCGAAGCCGGGCGAGGACTGCTGAGAACACGCTTACCGCCAGCAAAAATCTCTCTGTTCGACTACTCCGTCGAGTGTTTTAACGGACTGAACGATGTGTCTTTCACCCCTCCAAACACTTCCCTTACATTTCGATTGAACCGTTATCTTGGCCCTCGGCTCTGAAGGCAGGGGAGGTGCTTGCACTGACAGGTACCCCGAGGACACCCCTGCTCTACCGGAGATATAAAGAAAAAGTGCCACTCGTGTCTCTGCGTTCCCGGCTGTGCCCAACCCGTGGGGCAAAGGACCAGCCATGGCTGCGCCGGGAGGGTCGAGTGCCCCCGAACTGCAGGGCAACCAGTCAGGTATTGTAATAAATCGGACACTTCTCTATTTTTGTTTTCCCCAGAAGTTCAAGTCATCCAGCTTAGATGACAATGAGACTACAAAGTTTGCAAACTGAGTAAATATAGACTATCCTTTCAGGAAGATCTGGCTAATAGTTCATGCTGAAGGTGAGAGAATTGTGCTGCCCAAGAAGTCGCACGAGGCTTGTGCTCTGCCGCAGGTTTCCTGGTAGGCTTTGGGACCATCAGCATTACTGAAAAACCTAAACAGGACTTCCCCGGTGGAAAGTGCTTCACCCCAGCTCTTCCACCTCAAAACAGCTTGTGTCTCCATCTTCCAGCCTACCCACACCTTTCCATTTTCCACTTTTTCAGAGCTCTCTGACCCTTGAGGACTGAGGACCTGTGAGCCTTCCCCATGCCAGGGACCCACGACATGGACAAGCACACTCGCCAAATTGCCCTGACCTCACCTGCGTCCCCAGATTGTGCCGGGTCTCCCAAGCATCTTGCAGGAAGTTCCCAGACCCCCATTTCATTAAAAGCGGTCTTGCTTCTCCCTTCCTCTGTCACCCAACGTGCCAACACCAGCATGCTCACCAAGGGGATGCTCGTGGAGGTGGCAGAAGGTGTGGGCTTGCTGCTGTTCTCCAGCTGAGGGGATCCAAACCAACATCTCCTGTAAGGCAGCTCCAGCTGCCAAGTGGGAAGCGATGAGAGGGTGAATTGCTCTTAACCACTCCTTTGAAACAGTCCAATCTTGCATCACATCAGCAGTTAAAGAGGGCAAATAAAGGCATGAGCAGAGGCTTAGTTGGGACAGCTGCTTAAAAAGAGAGGCCTGGGCTATCTTTATACCTTAAGCTCAGTTGAAATAAACAGGACTAGAAGCTGGTGTTTCCATAAGCTCAGGGAATGGGTATATTCTCTTGCAACAAAATCTATGAACCATGCGGACAAAATACAACAGCCCTTCAGTGATCTGTGGGGGAAAAATGCCCCCTTCCCCAGAGGGACTTTGAACTGACCCCATGGGAAGCTCTTGTGCTGTGCCAGCAGCACCTGCACAAGCAGGCCATCCAGCTGCATGAAGTCCTGAGCAGCTTACCAAGAATTTATTAGTACTGAATAAGTATCTGTTTCACTGAGTAACTCCTGGCACCTGTAGAGCAAGCCTTCCAGGATCCCACAAGTATGGGACAAGTCACAGGACGGTCCTCTGAGCCTGAACACAGTCAGCTCTTGTTCAAAATGGCAAAGGAAATGAAAAGTCAAAATTTGCTTGTGGGAACAAGTTTCTGCTTAGTATTAAAGCTATCTCTGGTACATCTGTAGAAATGCCTACACAGTAATTCCAAGTAACGCAGCACTAAAGGCAGAGCATTTCTATGCAGGAAAGAAAACAAGCCCAGCAAGCAGTCTAGTCAGCTGAGTTTACATTTTATAATGGCAGTTTATCAGTGATTTTTGTCTGTAGTGAAGCAGCCTACACACACGCAGACTAGTTGCTGAAGGCAGCTTAGCACAGCGTGGCTCTTCTGCAAAACGCCACATCAGAGCTGGGTTTCAGAGCACCAGTGCGCCCCAAGCTTCCAAACAGACGTCAGTTGCCACGTGGAGATTCCTGGAAGAGGAGCTTCCCTGCATGCTGTTTGTAATCCCCTCTGTTCAGCAACACACTGCAAAAGTGTGTGTGAATACTGCTCCAACTGGCGAGTTTTTCTTGGGTAGGGATGGCCCAGCCTCGCGAGCGATAAGCAGAACGCTGACAGTACATGCTAACAAGAGCATGATGTTCCATCTCACCCCCAAAAGCCAAGAAATTCAAACTCGGTTTGCAAACATTCCCAAGTATCCATCACCACTGAGCTGTCTTACAAAATTCAATGGCTATATAAAGAAAAACTACCAGACATTTCTTGATGCAATACCAATTCGCCCCAAGTTAAAAATAAGAAGTTTAGATGTTGTGACATTTCACTAGAAGCCCCATTAGACACTCATGTTGCACAACATTGCTGATTTCTATGAAAAGTTAACTGAAGGACAAAAGGCTACTGTAATGGGAAGAAAATTTACATTTATGTATTTCTGCCAGTGGGAAGAACAGATCCCAGGCACAGCTAGTTACATGTATCACTTGCTGTAGAAATTTTTTAAAATAATTTGAAAAACAGCTGAATATTCAGGTGTCAAGGTTAGCTCATCACAGAACTTGCATTTAAAGGCAGGTCCTCTGACACCTTCCATTGGCTACTTTTGGCCAAAAGTAGCCACTGGAGATTTGTAGTTTATGTGCTGCACTTGGAATCTTCCTTGCTTTCTTTATCTTTCTTTACACTGTTTATTTGGCTGATGTTTCCAGATACATTTGTTTTCTGTTTCCACCCAGCTGCAATTGAAACAAGGGCCATGGAACAAGGCCCGACTGCCCTAGCTCAGGGCATGCATTCCCACTTCCTTCAAATCCACGCAGACCCATGTATCCTGCAATCTCTTAACACTATCACACACTGTAGGGTGAATCCCTTAACTCGCTTACTAAGTCTTAATCCACAGTGCTCTCCTTTATTTCTTAAGGCATTTGTTCTACCTTGGCCATTTTGAAGGGATTCCCGCAAAGAGATGTGCTTATTCCTAGCTATTTTCTGTACTTGCCTATTATTATTTGCAGTGAATAGTGGGGAATCTTCCTATTAACATAGAAAACGCTCAAATACTGTAACAGCAGCCATGCAGAATCTTGCAGGGCTCATCATAGTCTGGGAATACTCAGGTTAAAGAGTATGTGTGGATCTTGGTGAAGAAAGCCATGGCGGGGATTTTCAAGGCAGCAAAGAGCACGCGTACTCAGACTAGCTAGAATAGCAAGTTGCTGTGTGAAAAACCGTCCCAGTCACACGTTCCACAGCTTCGCAGCTCCAGCCCCTCTCACATCCTGTTCTCTCTTACATTAGATGCTTTGTAGCCTTGAGATTAATAACAGTTGTGAGTTCAAAGGCAGTAAATGGAACTACTTCAGTTACTCGAGCCAAAATTTAACACAGATGTCTTCTGAAGTACGCTCACTGTCCAGTCACCAGCTATTCTAGGATTAGAACTGACAACATTATCTGAAACTTTGATCTTCCTTAATTGATTTAATTTCCTTTGTATAAAAAACACGCATTTGTATATACAACAGCGATGAGAAACAAATATTTACATGTGATTAAATAAAGTCTCAATACAGATGTACACCTTTACAAAATAAATGATGCTAAAATCTGTCACACATTTTCCTGAAACTTTTCAGTGTCTTAGACATTAAGTTGGACCCATCTTCTTCCCACAGTACAATTCATTAATAAGCTTCTAAAAAAGTCCATTTACTGTGTGAGAAATATGTTACATATTAGACAGGAGTATTTACTGCAAACATATGCAATCATAAACTAGAAAAAGTTATGAATGGTTAAAGTACAATTAGTACTACTGTGCAGTTGTCTAGGTACTAAAGTATAAAGAAAAAAATAAAGTAAGCTAGCTCAACTTAATACCATTTACTGGTAGTCCCTACTGATCTTTGAAGTTTAGTCAAACATCACAAACCCAAGTCAAGATCCTGTAATGTGTAGAAATATTGTCCAGGAAACCCCCAGACTGCATAATTGGATTACATGAAACGAAATATCAGATGGTAAGATGCAGGGGTTGAATCCTTGTTCAGAAGGGCACACTGCATGTAAATACATACAATTACTAAAAATCCAAGTTTAAACAAATATGACTATAAATAAGCCCAGCTGATGTAAATTCCAGAAAGGTGGAATAGCAGGGATCAATGTCACATTTATGTGTGGATTTTCTGAAAACTGCAACATCATATCAATATGCTCCAGTGTGAATTTCTTTTTATTAAAAAAATAGTCACCAGTAATAAATGAAGGTGCATTAGGAGAACTAGACATTCTCCAACCTCTTTAGCAACATGCTTAATGTAAATGAGCACTTAGTGGTTTACTAAAAGACTACCCACATACATCAAGCATATACACAAACTCTGAGAACCATAAGGACTCCAGCTAAGTGCTGTAATTAAAGAGCAAAAAATAAGAGTTAATCTGCAAATGTAATGGCTGGATATCGGCTGCTACTGGTATGCATAGGCTTTCATATAGCATCAGCGACAGTAAAACCAAATATTTAAAAGGATTGACGACTAAGTAATTAAGGAAGCTCCCACATATAGCACTGAATTAAAGGGGAGACGAAGTTTTAAGAAAAAAAAGAGTCGGCACACTGAACAAGAGTACAAGTGAGATTTCAATCTGGAAATACTAAATGAGAAATTCATGTGCTGAGAGTAATATTCCTCCGTCGAAGTGGATAGCGTCGTCTTTGTGGTGAACTGGCAGCTTTTTTTCTTTTTAGCAAAACACAAGGACTTTTACAAGTGTCAGTGTCTGTTGGTGTGACTTCTCCTGGTGATATGAAGTTTTGGATGTTATTTTCCTCCTTCGTCTTGCAACCAGCAAAGACTTCTTGTCGTAGCTTGCAGAGTTCCAAGGTTGGTTGCCAAGTTAATGCTTGGGAAAAACCTTCTGCTCTTTCTATTAGCACTGGGAGAGACTGCAGAAAACAAACCCAAGTATCTCAAGTTACACGGGAAAAGTAATGGCCACAATGAATGAAATATGTTAATTAGATTCTGACAGGCACAAAAGCTTCAGTGTCTGCAAAGATGATCCTGAGGATGTCAGGTGAAGGTTGGGAACTCAGAGCTACCTACCAGCCTAAACAACGACCAGGGCCTGCACTCAAGAGGCCATACAAAGAGCATGCCAAGTTTAAATGCTCCTTTGTCACATCTCTAAGCTGAATAAGCATCATAGGAACACCCTGGTTCATGTCTAAGCTGGTACTGAAGTAATAAATGTCGTATGCTTTATGAAGTTGTACAGGTCTTCAAAAACTGTTTTATTTTTCAGATGCTGCAGGTTCTAAAATCTCTGTAAAAAACATTTCCTACACCCAGGGGATAATCTTCCTTACCACCGAGTGAGGAGGAATGCTTGACAGATACAAATTCAGCAGTCCAAACCTAGAGATGTACTTGCTTCAAAAGTACACACGCGGGCTTTTTGTACAAAACTATAACCAAGATGAGTCAGAACTCCTGTTTTGTGACATATTATCAGATCAAGAAACTAAAAAGAAGCCTCTTGGACCACAGAGATCTCACCTTCATTGCTCCACTGATCTGTTGGGATGCCATTTCTGTCACCTGCTTCAGATCTGTGATGTAAGCATCTACAGAAAAACATAAAGCCCAAATAAACTTCTGAAACATAACTCCCTCCCCCCAATACTTGCTATCAACTTCTTAAATATCAGACAGAAAAGCAGTGGAGTTCCTGTACAAAACAAACCTACAGCACATCCCTTTCATTATAGCATTGAGGACGACACCTTGTATGTTTAATCCTACTATGGTTACTCTTTATCACTTAAAATATAGCAGTGTCTCGCAGTCTCAACTACAGCAAGCCACAAAGTT